AGTTGCTGTACGCAACTTTAAACCGCGGGATTGCCAATTCCACCTCTCTCTCTGCCAAAACCAAATTCACATTTTACTTTATTTTCTTTTTTGGTTTTGGGGTGAATACAACTTGTAGGACGAGGCAACAATCTTCCTCCACCCCAAAGTAGTACAGCCTTTGCTAGGGCACTCACTATATACATTCATACATACACACACATATATATGTAGCCCTTACGGCTTTTGATATTTTTCTTTTTGAAAGCTGTGTTTGGATTGTTATTTTTCTAAAAAAAAAAAGTAACATTTTCATAGTGATAGTTTCACAAACCTCTCTCGAAATTTATGACAATTGCAAACAATACCATTCATGTTTAGAAAATTACACTTATCTCCTCTCGTGGTGTAAAATGATAAAAATAATCTTCGCAAATCACTTGATTTAACATCTTTATAAAGTGAAGTAATGCACATTTAAAATTAAAGTTAACTAATCGTCAAAATAAATAGCAAAAAAAGAAAAGCAAGAATAATAGATTCTCTTTTGTACTAACTATCCAAATCACCTCGATTTAATTTTATTGAATATTGTAGTAATTTAGAAAAAATATTTCTAAATTCCTACAAAAATTGGTTACTTACTCAACCGATATCCGATATTTCTTCTTTTTTTTTTCAATTTGTCCATGTAAATTTTTTTTTATCTAAGGAGAGAGAAATGAATTTGACAGATGGTTTTCTTCAAGTACGTGACAATATACTAGTTTAAAATTAGAAAAGAATTTTATTTCAATGGAGAAAAATCCCCTAAAGGCAATGTAGGAATATCAACAGGAATATTTTGCTTACATCAGTAAAGCAATCCCCAAACTATTTTCTAATGGAGATTTATGTTTTTTTTTAAGCCTGGAGGGTATTTCCTGCAATCATCATAAACCTGAAGGAAGGTTTGTTAGATTATCTCTTTTTTATAAACACATATTCTGATAAATATTTTATTTTATATACATTAAATTGTTACAGTAATTTTTTAAACAAAAATCCTAAAAAATAGCAGGCTCTTGGGAAGAGAGAGCTCTTATGTACTATTATCATGTGAGAACTCGTACTTCAATCCTACTTATTAACGAGTGGGTTTGGACTGGTCAAAACAAATGGATTATGATTGATGATATCTCCAAACTCGTATTGGAATCCTGCTATCAGCAATATGTAAAATTATGTTGCCAATTATACATTAGCAATTTGTGAGACTTGCAAGTCCTTGCCGGTGCTATAGCCAATTTTAACTTTGGGACGACTTAACCTCCCTTCTCTCTAAACACTAGTTTGTTGGGGCATCATGCGATGCATGATGTTGCCCAGATGAAAGTCATAAAAAAAAAAAAAAATTTTGTGGCTATAAAGAATGGAAGAGTATTTATCGATTAGTGATGCTTGTAAAATAATCAGAGAAAATCCAAATAAATTTCTGAGGAGTAATAATTTTTGAAAAAACAATTATGCTTAACGATACTTAATTAAAACCTAGACAATTAAGGTATTGGACGTGGTCACTAAGAATAATTAAAATGGTATTTGAATAGCATCTATTGGCTCAACAAAACTGATTCATTAGGAAACCAAATAGGAAGAGGGAATTAGCAGACAGCTAATTTGGAATTTTCTTATTTTGGCAGGTAATTTACTATCCAAGTATTCATAAATTGGAGGATTTATTTGAGTGCAAGACACTTACTTCTAATACATTACAGTTTGTAAGTTGCAATCATCTGGGAGATGCAATCTCATAGTTGAGAAATCAATGGAAGATTGAAAAGAAAAATTTGACAATACAAATAGTTAGACATTAAATAGGACAGTTTATTTTTTTTTCAACAAACGGAAAATAGGACAGTTTATGAGACTAAATTATTGTATTTCAGGAGCTGTTTTAAAGACTATAAGTCTTCTTTTTTTTTTTGGAAAACTGAGATATATAAGTTTAATTTATACATGTTACTAACGATAAGATCTAGTTTTTTTTAATTCATTAGTAAAATATTCAAAGGAGTAACTTTTCTATGCTAAAGTTTTACTTTAATGCAAAAAGATGAGTTTAATCACGTATATTATTTCATGCAACTATTAAACAGATAAAAAAAAAAATCAGGTTTAAGCATAGCATTAGAGGTTCAAATGCCAAGGATTGAGGAAAATTAACTCGAAACTTGGAGCTTTTATGTGAATTCACAGAAGGTAATAGTTTATAATATATGTGCATACATTGCATTTTGGTAGTTCGTACATTAGTAAAAGCTGTTTACTATAGTGTACAAGACATGCAACTTCAGAAACTCCCAATTGCTTCCACGTAAGCTAACAACACTATCGTATCTGTCTAACACCCAAATATCAAAGTGAAATTTCATAATTAATCACCTACTGATGGTGCCCATACGGGACCATCACTTCTTATGAGATATCAGCCAACTCCCCTTTTTATACTTCTTAGGATTTATGTATAAAAGAGAAAAGTAATTGAAATTTGAGTTGAGTGATTTGTTTTATTTACTTGTTAGAAGAAAACTTAAAATAACTTGTGAAAAAAATATGAAATGTTTTTACAAATATATTTTCATATCACCTTTTTATATTATCAATCATCGTTTTATCTCATATGAATCACATATCACATGCGATAAAATGAAAAATTAATTCATAAATTACAATCCAAATAGAGCTGGCTGGAATCACCTCCTTGTCTTTTTTCGCTCGGTCTAACTTTTAGCTTAACAAATGTATTACTTGAAATGATATTTTTATTCGTATTACAATAATAATTTTTTATCATATTTTTTTATCTTATCAATCACATTATAAAAATTAGTACAACATTTCATTTAAATAATATTGAAAATAGTACTTTTATCCAATACTCTGATTAATCGCAATTACAATGCCTAAGGAAAAATGATAATAGTACTCATCTGAAGTCAATTCATGTTGATATTAGTGGATTTGACTTGAGAAGAAGAATTTGATAACTTCATCAAAATAACTACCGATACATCAAGAATCGGATCACGACATTCCCAGCTACCAAATGAACAAATACCAACAGATTACGTCGCACCATCTCGCCAAGTAATATAACACAATTTGGTCTATTAATTCTTAGAAAATCGGCTCCATCCAAGTCTTGGACGTACCAAAATACTTTGCAACGTACACAGTATTTTCATTCTCCACATATTTGGCCTTTGGGTCGGGCCCCATGATACAAAACCTGTAAAGACATTTTCGTCATTTCCACAAAGTAAAGGAAAAGCAAGGGAATGGTGAATAAGACGCAAGACTGATGGCAAACATGTCAAACTACCAAAGGACGGCGACTATAGCCTGCACTCGACAGTAACAGCCACCACTAATAGCAGCGGTGAACTTTCACGACCCTACTCCTCCTACCCCATGTCCGTCCGATGATCTTTGGTCCTTTTTCTTTTTGTTGATCCTTTGTTATATTGTTTTGTTGCTTACATGCAAAGTATAACTGCCACGTACACCGGATGAGGACAATTGTCTGCTTACACACACGGGCACCACCCGTTGACGAATCAGAATTGTGCAACCACGTTGTCATCGCCTTTCATTTTTCCAATGCTTCTTAAGCCTTAATCTAACCTCTGGTCAATTTGATTAAATAATCTATACATATATATATATATATTTGTTGCAATGATATCATTTTTATAATTTAATCTATCATATTTTATTAAAAAAAAATTTAAAAAGCTACATAAAGAGTTAGCGGAAATACAGATTCGACTAAATCAAAGAATGTTCCAATATTTCTTTTGAATTTTTTCTCGTCATAGTGAAATTATAACCTTCAATCTACAACCGAAAAAGAAATCCTCTTCGATGGTCACTGAACCAAAATTCGATGGTTATTAAGTAATCTATGCATGGTTCTAGCACTTTTTAACTAATCATGAATGGCGATGAGGGGGCTAGCCTTAATAACGATACATCTCGAGTCCAAGTTTCGCTATTCTTCCACCCTATATGTGAATTAGTTTTATAATGTGACTGAGTTGTAATTTCTTTCTTTTTTTTTTTTTGAGCAATTGAATTGTAATTTCACTGCGCACCAGTTGGTTCATGAATTTTACTACTCTCATCGTTATAAGTTCCTTGTAATGTTGTCAATTGATAAAAAGAAAAATCTTTAATCAATAATCGGGCTATAGAGAGACAACATTTATTTTCTGTACGTAAAATATACTTCAAACTACGCTGATTCCATGGAAAAAATTGGGGGTGACATTTTTAACTGGCAATTTTTTTTTTCCCAAAACAACAATATGAGTTAAATAAACAACAATATTTTAACTTTGCATTAGTTAAATAAATAAATTTTATATATATTGTCAGTATATAAACTATTACGATTGGATAAATGACACATGAATAAATTTTAAATTTTAAATTTAAATTCTGTACATGTATCATATATTTAACAGTGATAGTGCACGCATAAAATGAATCCTAGTTAAATTGGATCAAATTAGAGGCAATTTGAGTACACAATGACAAACAAAAAATTTATCTTCTAAAAAGTGAATTAAATTTTTTGTTTTTTAACTTCTTAAATCCCAGCCATATTTTCCACTAGATAAAAAAAAGAAAAAAAAATGTTTGGCAACGAAAGAATCGGAGCTCAGGACCACAAATTGGGAAACCAATTCCAGTCCGACGTCCCTACTCGATCTCACCCGCAGGGACTATGGTTGCTGAAGCACAAACCTCCGAGGACCCACACCAAGGCTCACATGCAAGGGGAGCAACATTGTGTCAGAGGAACGGACCCACCACGACTCCCCTGTGCAAAACCTAGACCCCACAATTCCCGTCCCTCCCCCACCCCCAATATCTCTATATCTTACCTGGCAACAACTCTGCATATACCCCTTTTCCCACAATTACCTTAGCACTTGGTATACGAAAATACGATCGCTTTTCCGCCCTTTCCCTGCTCTGTTCTTCGTTTCTTTCTCTCGTCCTGCCCCAGTTGTTGCCCAGTTGCCCATACCCCTCTCGCCCTCTTTATCCTTTTTCTTTTGGTTAATCTTCTTCTCTATTTCTATCTCTAGATTTTTTGGGCTGGGGCCCCTTCAGGACAGCGCCACTGAAGACAACCGCAAAGTCCTTACTATCATTTATTAAATCTTAAGAAACCCGCAAACACTCTTAGGGCCAGGCCTCACCCCAGCTCTAATCCCCTCTCCTCTCCAAAACCCTTTCTGGCTTCCACTGTTACAGCTTCCTCCCTCTCTTTCTCCGTTGTCATTTTTCTCTTATCCAGGAAAAGATGGCCAAGGACTCGGACGATTGTGAGCACCGTTTCCTCCCTCAGTTCTTGACTGACGACGACGACGAACTCTTCGCTGACTTGAAGACCAGCAGCAAGAAGAATGATGCCAGAAACACCGCCAAGAGTTGCTTCGGGATGGATTCTTGGCATGAGTTCGGATATGGGCTTGGTCCCTTTGGGTCTCAATCGGGTCTAAGTTCACCCCTTGAAGGCTCAACCGAGACCGAAAGTGACGATGACGACTACGTTACTGGTCTAACGCAACGACTGGCTCATTCCACTTTCGAAGACCCTGCTTTAACCTACGAAACCAACAAACTGGTATCCAAATTGCTTCCACTTTTTCTTTTCCTTCTCTCTTTTTTTTTTTTTGGCTTAAATTTCTTTCCCTTCGTTGTTTTAAAGTTTAACCCTGCTGTCTTAACAGGGATGGGGTCTGTCTAGTTCACCTCAGTCGACACTCTGCAGTGCTTTGTGTGGTGGATGCGGCTGCTATCACGGCTCCAGCCGCCCAAACTGTCCCTCGAAGGCAGCTTCGCCGCGGGGGATCAACAAAACCGACGCGGCCTGGGATCTGCTATTACATGCGGCTGCAGGGGAGGTTTCTCGCATGAGAGTGATGGAGGGAGCTGGTGGGTTTTACCCCAACAAGAATGGTGGACTAGTTGGGCCTCCCACAAAACCTAGCACCATCTCCGTACCTCAGAGAATCCCTAGCCCAAGTCTTGGTTTTCGGCCTGACCACCAGACCCATCTTTCTCATCAGCAGCATTTAAAAGTCGCCCAAGTAAGCTTGGGAAGTGGCATTATTCGGTTTTAGCTTCTATGTTTGTTTTACCCCGCTTTTTTTTTTTTTTTCCCTAGTTCTTTTGGTGAATTCTTTTTTAGTTTTTCCTTTTGGGGATGTAGTTTGAGCAGCTGAGGCAGCAACAGATGATGAGGCAGCAGCAGCAGCAGCAGCAGCAGGAGGCGATGGGTGTATGGGGTCAGGCGAAGTTTCAGTTTAGCCAGACCCAACAAATGATGTTGAATAGTGGGAGGAGTGGAGGGAAGAAGCCTAATCTTTCAATGGCTGCTTGGCCTACTCTGGAACAACAATCCCAGCGGCCGCTGCAGCATCCCGGTTCGGGCATGAGGGCTGTATTTCTGGGAAACCCCAATATTAAAAGGGAATGTGCTGGAACTGGTGTTTTCTTGCCCAGAAGATTCGGAACCCCGGCTGTAAGCCGCAAGAAGTCAGGTATTTTTGTTTTCTACTCAACTGCTTGTTCCAGAACACCCCTTGTTTTGTGCCAATGTAAAGGATGACGACTTTCTTTTTTTTTTTTGCGGGGGTGGGGGGGGGGGGTTTCAAATCGTATCCTTAGTAGTGGGCAGTGGAGGATGAGTCGGAAATTTTAGTAGTACTAAGCTATCTTTGGATGGTGTGGGACTTGTTTTTTTCTTTGCGTTTGGTTAATAATAGTCACATGGTATGTGTGTGTGTGTTGGTGGAAATTCTCATTCTAATGTAACTGTTCTGATCTGACCCCTTTTGGCTTCTCCCCTTTGTACTCTTCTGATTTATTCACTCCATTTTTTTTGGGGGTCGGAGGATGGTTTGGATGTGTTATATGCGTTTGGAATCGAGTTCAATAATAATAAAATATTACTACTAATATTTCTTTTTTTCATTATAAAGTGATAGTATATGCATGACGTTTTATTGGTAAAAAAAAAAAAAAAAAAATTGCAGGATGTTCGACGGTTTTACTGCCGGACAGAGTGGTCCAGACCTTGAATTTGAATTTGAACAAGGAGGGCGTGGATGTTCCGGCTCAGCCCGCATATAATGCGGGTCGGGCCTCTGATTACGGTACTGGCCTGCTGCCCTATTTTGTTTGTTTCTTTTTTTTTTTAATCTCTAATTTGTTAAAGAGTTGTGTTGCATCCTCTGGTTATTTGGGCTGATGGAGTATGTATTATATTTTTGTGGGTTTTTTTTTTTTTAAATTTCTGCAGATGCGGGAGCTTTGAGATATAGAAATAGTAGCAGTAGCAGCAGCAGCAGTGCGGGGGGGATGGGTCAACAACAGAGGGGCGGATTGAGACAGCAGGCGGCGGTGATGAACCACCAACAAGTCCCAGAGCTCAGACTTCCTCAGGAGTGGTCTTACTGATAGGAAATTCAGAACCATTGCAGCAATTCATGGCATTTACTGATGGGATATGTTTTGTTTTGTTAGTTGTTAGTTGCTAGTGTGGGATGGGATAGGGGTGATTTTAGGATAGGAGCGGAAAATACTTTGAAATGAAAGAAAGGAGGAAAAAGATGATGAAGGTTGTGGATGATTATTTATGATATACTGCTACTGGTAGGGTATTATTATTGAGGGTCATAGTTAGAGTTTGATTTAGTGGTGTTAATGAAAGGAGGAGGAATGAATAAAGAGTAGTGTCGAGTGAGTGTGAGATGGAAAGGAGAAGAATGCAGGAGCAGCTTTTTTGTTCATGTTGGCCTGCCTGCTCGAAAAGCGGTGGATGACAGTTGTTGGTCTTTTTGTTCTTCCGTTGGAGTTGGAGTGAATGAATGATATGCTCTTCTCTTCTCTTCTTCTTCTACTTCTAAATTCTAGTAATAATAAATAAAAAAAAAGTCGGTTTGGTAGTTGTTTGCAAATTCAAGTCCAAAAGTAGAGTACTAGTCGGCCGATGGCAATCTTTATTTATTCTTGGCTGTGAGAAACTCTCTCTATTATTGTTCAGATTTATTTCCACACCCCCACTGCTTTCTTTTTATATGGTAGTATATTCAATAGAACTGTGACCTGCGATTGATATTAATTGTCTCTTCTTTTTCTCGTCTCTCAAGTGCTAACCTATTTTTCTTTATATTTGGTCCTAAAGCAAAACATTTGTTCAAATGCTAGAGCTTATCCGCTGCGGACAAACTTGTAATTTCGTCTGGTCCTGATCTGGTGTGTCTTCAATCTTCTTGTTCAACTTGCGAATATGCAAATACGGTAGTCAAGCTACGAAAGGCGAAGAAGAGAAAAAGAAAGGTTGCTAAATGCAAAAGCTCAAATCAGATCCTCGGTCGGTGGTGCCATGTTTTCGCTCAAATGCCAAAGTGTTCAATTAATTTACGTTAAAATCAAACATCATATGATAATTTAAATTCATTGGACATTTCAGGAGTAGCACCACCCAAAAATGGCGCCAAATATCTCAATTGCAGTTCTAAGCGGCCGCAGAAGAAAACGAGCCGAAAAAGGGTTTGGTGTGTCGGTTCGGGGCATGTTCCGGATTTTCTTAAAAAAAAAAAAGAGCTGAAACAATTAAAAATTTATAGAATTGGTTTGGATTGTTATTTTCTAAGGTTTTTATAGCAAAATGTATTGTATGCATGTAAATTTAAAAAAAAAATTTTGAACAAAAATGACAATTCAAAAAATATGAAACCCTGAAAGAGGGACGTTGCATCTTCTGCTTAAGTGGAAATAATTGTGTGGTTGGGAGCCTGCTTGCTGTCGAGTCAGAAATATATATATATATATATATATATATATATATATATATATATATATTATATCTGTTGGGTGATTCAAAATTGGCCAAACGCATCCAGAGCAGAGCAGAGTGTTCTCAAGTGGTTGGGTAGGACCACAAGCGGTGTGATCCAGAGGAGAGCGTTGGCTAATCCTCAAAAATTGCAATCAGACAAGCCCAGAGGTTTTCTGGTTTGAATTCCAAACTTTGCTAGGAGGAAGGTGAAAGAAGGGCGGCGTTTTTGAGTAAAAATCTCATGATACCTGACTCACCAACCAATCAGGCACTACTGATACTTATTAGACAGTACGCCATTGATCCCGTGTTGATGATATATCTTAATTGGAAGTTTTGTGGAACAGTGCAGTGGAAGCATGCATTAACCTCGCGCCGACTCTTCAATTAAACTCTTCCCAATCCCAACCTTTCTTCTTGTTCCGTAACCTGGTTGCAAGTATCCGGTTGTATTCGCCGCCAGTTTAGTTATATTAAACCAACACACTACTGCTGCTACTGCTACTACAAGAAGAAGTTAAAACTTGCTTGAATTTGTTTTTGGGTTGATGAATTGGTTCCGCTGAGTCTGACCAGCAGTCATTCATTTGGCATTTAATGAATTATTGCCAGTAACCAATCACTGGAAACTGCAGATTAGAACTAATCTGACCTGATTACTTCTTCTTTGGCATTTTCTCATGTGGTTTTAGTACTATGAAGCAAGAAATGCGACTGAGCTCCAAAAAACCCATTCATAGGACCGGACAAATAATGGAGCAATTATTCATAGATTATGAGCTTGTTCGCACCATCCCCGCACGCTATGACACAATTCAAATTCAACGGTAGCTCACCAACTGACCAACCAACCAACCAACCAGCCGGTTTAGGTTGCATTCATATATAGCACTAATAAGTTTTGACACCAAATCTGCAGCATGATACTACATACAGACATATATATATATATATATATATATAATTTTAGATGCTCCTAGTTATTGATTTCTCAATCGTAGCCGTGAGTCCTGGAAAAGAACTGGGTAGGAGGGCCACAAAAAAAAGATACTCAATCCTAATGGCTAAATAAACGATCCCTTAAGATAGAGTACCAGTTCCTAACATAAAGTAGTAGTCAATTAGTGTCAAATCATTATTAGACATGCAGTGCAGTTGTGACTTGTCAGAACCTACAATAATAATGAGTGTGTTTGGACAGCCAATTATTTGGTCAAATATATTTGCTGACATCACCATTACAATTTTCAATACACCTTTTTATCTTCCCAATTACCTTTTTATCTCACATACATCACATCACAAAAAGTGCTACAGTAAAAATATTTCAAATAACTTACGATCCAAACACACCAATTAATATTTTAGTAATCAAATTCCATCCAAGTAAAGATCAGACATGTGACCCGGATTCATGGCGATGAATTGGCTTTATACGAAGTTGGAAAATATTATTATTGAATACATTATGTATAATCCAAAATATTCCTGTTTTGGCTAACAAAATGAAGTCCGAGTACCTAGTAGGAAGGACCGAAGGAGGACTCAAGTATCATCTCATGCCTCCATGGAATCAGACACTAAACTTGATGGTTTCCCTGCTCACATCACTAGCGGTAGGGGAAATCTGGAAAGTGCCACCATCATCTACTCTTACTCTTACTGGCAGGAAATGAACAATAGAAAGTTACAGCTCTAAGGTTAAAACTGCTCCCCCATGGCAGTTCTACAAATCATATCCTGGTGCATTCCACAAACCTGCCCCTTTTCATGGATGCATTATTATATTCTATTGATGATACGAAGAATTTAAGCATGTTAATCCTCAAGATGATGAGGAGGGAAGAGAATTTTCAGATACAAGAGAAAACAGAGTGCTTGTATCTGCTTGCTACTTTATCTCAGTACACATTTTCTACATGTAGCTTTCGCGTTATCTATCTAGAAGTAACGGTTGTTCTCTCTGGTCGAGTTGTTCCAGAACCTGTTGCATCTAAATGTGGCTTCATGCTTCTTGAAAATGGGAGCTTGTCTCAGAAGTTAACAGGTTTCCCAGATGTATGAACAAGATGCACTAGTGTTCTAAATTGTAGTTTGATCGCTCGCTCTAGATGATCTCATTCCTTCCAGGTCAAACTTTGGTCTGACAACGGATCCATAATGCAAGTGTTGGACGTAAATCCTATTCATGCGGAAGCTCTCTGTCGACGTGGAATGGCCCACATGACAGCTGGAGATTTTTGAGGACGCAAACAACTGGTTTTATCGAGACGAGGTAATCTCGTCATCTATCTGTAAGCCTCCTCAACTCAAGTTGGCACTTTGGAATACTCTGTTTTCAAACTCGGACCGGACCGGCCGGTCGAACCGGGAACCGGCCAGGTAGCCGGTCCGAGTCAACTTAGAAAACCGGAAATTTTAAAACTCGGTCAAAGCCGGTCAAAATCCGGGTTTGACCGGGTTTGACCGGGAAAAACCCGGTTTTTCCGGTTCAACAGTAATTTTTTAAAAAAAAAATTCAAACTTTATAATATTATGTTTTGGCCCCCTAAATTGTTAAAACTTATTCGTATACCTCAAATATTTGATACTTTATAAATATTGTCCTACAATTTGATGTTATTTTTCAATTAAATTCATAATTTTAATTCTAAACTTGTTAATATTTATTAAATAATATAAATTGCTACTTGATTGTTCTAATTTCTTTGTATTTTCTTGTTAAATATATTTGAAACATCAAATATGTATGAATATACCTTTATTAATATCAATATATTATTAGATATGATATATATAATATTTTAATTTTTAAATAATTTTTATTTATGACGTCATCCGGTTCGACCCCTATCGACCCCCGGTCGAACCCATTGACCCCTGACCCCTGACCTTGGCCGAGTCGCTATCCGGTCCGGTTCTGAAAACATAGCTTTGGATTTGCTGTGCGGATGATGATCGAGCATCGACAAGTCATGCGAGTCGCTTCTCAAACTTAAGAAAAAAAAAAAAAGAGGAGTCTTTGTGTTGGTTACGTTACAAATTTTTTGTACTAAGATAATAGCTTTCTTAAATTGCATACTTGAAGCCTGTAAAATAGTGTACGGTCGCTCAATAAAAAAGAGTATAATCAACAAACAAGCATTTTTTGGCTGGAACAGCTAGATACCACAAAGACATCGGTAACGAGTGTGCAGGCATCAAACTTTGGGATCGAGTGTTAGGGAGTTCGTCTGAGCGGCAGCAGGTTTGCGGAAGTTGACCAGAAAATGTCCAACTCCATGACCAGCCACCGCCACTATAAAGATCCCCAAGTTGAAGGACATGACGGAGAGCATGACCAAGTAAGCCAGCGCCATACGGATAGCGTAAGCACCCGCCTGACTTAAGCTGCTAACGACTCCGGTGGTCTTGAGCACCCGAGGAGACGCCGACAACACCTCGACTGCAAATCCCAGAAAGAATACGAAGAAGAGAGCCAAGATGTACATGCCGAGGTTGTTATCAGGCCATCCCCTGAACAGAACAACCACATCTTTGCCCCAGAAGAAGCTCATCTGCATACTCGTCATATTATCATTCGTGCTCATCGTCGAATTTGGTGGCGTCGGCATCGGCATATCCCCGCGGTCCATTTCTTTCTTATTAGTTTCAGAGACAGGGTACGTAGCAAATACAAGCCGGCAAACAATACGGATTAAATAGACTTGGGACGAGTAAGCAGACCCTCTGCACGCCAAAATATTGAGTAGTAATCTGGATACAAGAAGTAGTATTTAGTATTCGAACTTCAAAGACAGAAACACGAGAGAAACAAGATGAGGGATATAAACGATGATAGAACAAGAAAAAGGAGACAATGGATTTTGTCGTATTAATGAAATATCTCGTCTTTTTGTCTCGACTCTACGAGACATTTCAATTCAGGCGTTGCTTCGGGAGGATATAGTGAAAAAAAATACTGCTACTACCACTACCACCAGGACGTACAAGTTACTATGTGGCCAGCAACCCAGGGCTCCTAATTCGTTTTTATGATTTTATCTTTGGTTTGTTGTTTCTGGGAAGATTTGATTTGCGTTGTGCAGAGGATCAACTTTCGTATGGCTAATGATAACCCACACACAGACACAAAAAAAAAAACTAGTAGTTGAAGCTTGAAGGAGGTCACAATCGGTCCAAATTAAAGATCTTCTTTTATTGTAAATATTACTCCCTCCGTTTCATTTTGTTAGTCTTGATTTTTTTTCACACAGATGAAGAAAATATAATTAATTTAGTTGGAAACATAAATTTAGATTAATAATTTCCTAAAATACCCTTATGCTAATCACGAAGAGTGTCAATTAATATCAGTTACAGCTAATGGGTTAGTATTGGAGAAGCTCAATGTATTCAATGTAGTGGGTTAGTATTTAATAACAATGTATTAATAACAAGATATTTAATAAGGGTATTTTAGACAATTTAAAAGATTACTACATTTCTTAATGGAAAAATGAATTATAATTTGGGACAGACGAAAAAGGAAAATAAGACTATCAAAGTGGGACGGAGGGAGTATTTGCAAATATGGCTTGGAGAGTGGAGTGGACACGGTGTTTCAGAGGGAGGAGGACTCGGGTCGACTGGTGGGAGATGACGGGCAACAAATCGACATCGAAACCACCCAATAATTTCAGCTGATAGTGCCCTTGGGATTCCCCTGTTGAGGGCATCCAAGGCAGACCGTTAAAGTCGCATCTGCAAAGTTGCAAGGCATTCAACAACAAATATTATTATTGCTTATATATATATATATATACACACACACAGGCACAGAGGATTCATTCACAGAGCGTAAGTGGGCCGCTTGGTTTATGGGGGAAGTATGTAGTCACAGGCCCAGAAAGAAAAGAGTTTTCGAGATCAGGAGATATATACGTCCCAAGTCCAGCGTCAAAACGCAAGAAGCAACAGAGGAAAGCCTTTGCTCTTTTAATCCAAGGCATGTATGCCCAACAGCCCAAACCCAACACCAAAAAAAACAAGAGTACGATGATTGTATTTGGAACATGAGTAAAGGTAAGAAGTTTTGATGCACATGATATCACTTGAGATCTTCGGTGACATGTTTTCTATGCCAATTCAATGCCACCTATAATATTGTGCCAAGTGTCCTATTATTATTTACACTTGTGTTAAACCAAATCAAGTTGAATTATTTGAAAATTAAAGTGTAAATAATAACAGAACACTTGGCACTATACTATAGGTGGCATTGGATTGGCATAGAAAATATACGCAACGGATCTTCTATTCCACACCCTGTGCCACTTTCTGTCCCACTTTTTATTATATTGTTATTTCTCCTACATAAATAACATGTTTTAATTCTTTTTTGTTTCCTTAAGATCCAATAACTATTAATTAAGTAAAAAATAAATACAACGGTTTATGCAGTTTCAAAAAAGCAATATATAATAGAAAATTAAAAAATACAGCAGAAAATTCATAAAAAATCTCATTTTTTATGCATTTTGATTTTTTGAGTTTGTTAAATTTTGTGTATTACTCAATTAATAGTTATTGGATTTTAAGGAAGCAAAAAAGAATTAAAACATGATGTTTATGAATGAAAAATAGCAATATAATAAAAGGTGGGACAGAGAGTGGCACAGGATGTGGGACAGAAGATCCGTTGCGGAAAACATGTCACCGAGGATCCCAAGTGATATGATATGACCCACAAAAAAAAAAAAAAAAAAATCATAACAGAGTTTATGTGACCCAAGGCTTGCTTGCTTGCTTGGATCTTGGTTCCGCGATAGTTTGTTCAATCTGATATTCAAACAGTTTAGTGAAAAGGCATCCAGCAGTGTGGCCGGCGAGAGCAACCAAGAGAAACAAAAAATCCCCGGTAATTACAGATATCATAACCAAGTAAGCCATGAACATCCTCAGTCCGTGCAAACCGGCGTCAAGCAGCAAGCCCCTGACGTCGTGTCGTCGTCGTCGACATTGTTGCTTGATGCTGATGGGATCATTACTGGTGGAGCAAATCTCAGTTGTGAAGGCAAGCAAGAAAACAAGAAACATAGAGAATAAACATTCGCCGAGGCTTTGGTGATTAGGCCACCCCGGATAGAATTGCATCATGTATGATATCCAGAAGCTCGAATATTGTGGTGATTCTGGGGGTGAGGAAGCACCAAGAAGTGATGGCAAAGAGGAAGCTAGCTGGAATTTTCGATGAATCATCTTGCAGACATTGACAAGATGCATTCCGAACATAATAAAAATGTTTGCCAGATACTAGTATATAAGCATGCAAACATACAATTACAACTATTTATCCTTTTTTTTTTTTTTCTTTTCCCCTATAGATTTGTTCTCGCAAACTGATAGCGCACCAGCCTTGCCTGCCTTTCAGATTCAAGTACAACATTAGTTCATGATTGGCGTTCAGTTTACTTTCTCATGAATTAGTAGTACTCAATGTTGCCGTATTTCGCATCTACATAATGGCAAACATTTAGTAACATCAAAGCAACGGTGGGTGATGTCCATAATTGCAAAGATTCTTGCCAGTGTTATTATGCCTTTCTAATCTAGACATAATGTTGACTAATGCCTGGTCAGGTGATATAGGAAAACGCCTGTACTATTTAATACTACATTTTAATTTGTTGTTTCGTAGATGGAAATCTTCAACTACAATCCATCCGGTGGCGGTGGGGTGACCGACTGGGGAAGATTAATAATTCAACTTCCGTTCGACTCAAAAAAACAAAACGAAAAAAAAAAAAATCAGTTGAATTTAAAGGTGCGAAACGGTCAAAAGTGGTGGCCCAAGCTCCCTGTGAAAAAAGAGAGTGTAAAACATTAAATAATAAAAGAATAATGTAAGAGCCCAACTAAAGCGAATCACCAGCCAAGTGACCGACCGATAATCTACTCCACCACCGCCTTCACTCACGAACGAACGATCCATCGTGTTTAACTTAATTAATTACCAGTATTAGCGGATCCCTTTCTGAAGATGGATACGGGACTCCCGAAAGCCACGTATCCAACCGCATGGCCCACCACAGCAGCGATGAAAATTCCTCCGTTGTAAGAAATCACGGACAACATCACCAGATACGCGAACCCTGCCCGAATTGCTCGAATCCCCATCTGGAAAAGAATCGCGGCGACGCGTTTGGATCCGGGTCTGACAACGTTGATGTTGGAGAACAGCTCCACCAGAACAGCCGAGAAAAATACAAACAGGAGGGCTAGTGCATACATGGCGGAGTTGTGTCCGGGCCAGCCGGAGAAGAGTATTTCGGCATCTTTACCCCAGTAGAAATGGGTGAATAAGGAGAATGGGTGGTGGTGGTGGACGTTGGTGGGAGGGGGTGGGGGAGGAGGTGGTGCGGTGGTGTTGTGGTGGATGGGCAGAGCATCGATGGCCATGAAGAATATATGATGATACGATGACCCGGGAGAGGGGTGGGGGGAGGGTGTACGTGTGTGGCTCTGTGGCATCCGAGGGTTTAAGAAGTTAGAGCTGAGATGCTGCATTTTGAGGTCTCTACTCTCCCACTTAGGCGAGTGTACGCAGCCGCCAAACCTTTTTAACTGCTTGTGTAGTAGATACGTCTGTATGAGCTATCAAATGAGTGTTGGATTTGGCAAAGCGTAAAAACTAGTATGGCGTTAGGGGCAGAAATAGCAGAGGAATTACCAAAGGTAGAAAGAATCACGCGCCTTAGAACGGTGGAGGGGCTTCTTCTTCTTTCTCTTTTGCAGGGAATGTGCTCTTCGTATGTCTGCAAGCGATTCCAATTAACAGTCAGTGCACCTTCCCAGCTGCCATTCACACTTTCTGTCGGAAAAAATTCGATGGTAACCAACAGGAAAGGAGGAACCACTGGGCCAATTGCTCGGTGGGCACCAGGGAGGTCCCTCCCTGGACCGTTGGTGAGACCGTTGGTGAGAGTTCAAATCTCATTAACAGTGAAAAAAATTAAGGGTTGTGTCATAACATTTTCTTGGTCTAGTTGGATTTGTATATCCACTAGTTCCTACAACAATCTCCTTAAATTCCCCCTAAATTAGAACAGAGTAGGTTATACAAATGTATCGTTGCTGACAAAAAAAAAAAACCAACAGAAAAGGAGGAACCGTTCAATTTTGTCAAATAAGCATTACAACAATATTTATTTCAAATAACGCTCTATCCAAACACTACTTTTTGTTTGTATTGATGCTATCGTCATGTGGAGCCATATTCCGATTCAATCAAATTTAATAGGACCTCTCGACTAACCGAAGTTCTCATTCTTTCTTTGATAGCGGGCCAATGGTTGTGGCTCTTGCCTATGTAGTACTATTAGTTATTACATGTGTTGACGGGTGGCTCTTCTCTATGTTATTGATTTCCATTTCACACTCAAAACAAGGCCTTATTTACTGGTAGCTCTTATCTCGTGTTATTGCAATTTTTTAGGATTTTTGTAAAAAATGTACGAAAACGATATGATATATACGAGACAAAAAAATAATTAAAAAATATTTTCACAAAAAATTAAGTTATTTTTTTTTTATAAAAAAATGACTTTCCAAACAATGCCTTAGTTTTGAATACATGACACTTCAAATATTTCCTATTCACCACCAACTTGAGTTCGACTGTTAACAATATAATATTAATTTCTTTTTTTTTTTTTTTTTTGAGTGTGTGCGCACAAATTGCACACCACCACTGACCACAAGTCTATTAGAGAGTTAAGCAAAGTCAAATCCCACTTAGCACCCCTAACAGATTATTTGTTTTCCATTTTGACACCATTTCCTTTTTCCTTCAGGGGGGAAAAGAAAAGAAGAACTTCACAGAGATGATTTTGGCGGGGAAAAGCCACAGATTTATTTTAAAGAGAAAGAGCCATTATTTAATGTATCCAGATAGTACCCTTAATTTGAGCCACCACAACGTCGCTCGTGAAGCGGCGTACAACAGATACAGCAATATGACATCTCAATATATTTCCTCTTCCTCCCCTACTTACGTTCTTATGCATACTACCAGTACACTACTGGCTAGTACAGAGTGGTAACATACTAGACACGTATGTATCGTTGAGGAACCAAGCGGGACATGCGTTTATAGTATTTCAACTGGTATGACATGATGATGAGAATGGTGCATAGGCTCCCACCTGGGAACTCGGACAGTGAGCACCCCATTTTCAATGGTTGACCTGATCTGATCAACCCTAGAGTCTTGGGGCAACCCGAAGGCAGTCAGAAACTTGCATCTGCTGCGTTCGATGACGTGGTGGTAGTAGTTCTGATCGTGTCGGTCTTCTTTCTCCGTGTACTTCTCGCAGCTTATCTTGAGGATCTTATTATCCTCCAATTCTACCCTCACATCTTCTCTCCTCACCCCTGGTGGAAGCTCAGTCTTGAAGATGTACGCCTCTGGGGTTTCCCTCCAATCGACTGTTGCACTTGCAAATGATGACGGGGCCTGCACCGCATGGTGGGAGGACGCACCATGTACTGGTGGTGCCCATGCAGTTACTCCACTCTCGCCGTGATATTGTTTTTGGTGGACCGGCTGGTGGTTGTTGACCGGAGCATCCCATCCATCGCCGGAGAAAGGATTATAGTAGACGCTTCGTCGCCCACCAAACACGGGCATCAGGGACATGGTTTATTTATAGTTAAGTAAATAGCTAGTTTTTTTTTTTTTTCCCTCCTTGGAACGATACAGAGAAGTAACTAGCTAGTTTTGATTTCTAAATTATAGTATCTTATATATACTGCTAAACAATTGTCTTTTCTCTGCACTAGTACTACTACTTGTTTGGACAAAGCTAAGATGGTGGATGAATTTATAGTCCGGAGGGGGTTTGGTTGATTTGTAAATAAAGAGGGAATTCTAGACTTTTCCGAGCTAGATTCATAATCGCGTTATACATGCATACGAAAACGGTAAAGAACGAACTTAACTAGGAAGGTGAGAATTAAAGTGTGGCCTAATTGGACAAGGCAGGCATTCACAAACAAGCCAAGGGAGAATATATTCCCGTGAACTGATTTTCTAGATTTCAGAATATAAAAAGCAGAAACCACTTAGTAGTGAGGAAGCTTTTTGCAATGATGTGACCATTTCTGCGAGCCACCTGTGTTCTTGCCGCGTCTATCCAACGATGCTCATAGCCAGGGATCGATGTTAATCGACTACCACATTAGTAGATACTCATACACAGTGAAACAGGAATCCAGTTAACGTTATCTACAACAAAGGGGATACGTGCTTGGGATGCTTTGAGATCAAGAAATTGCAATGATATTTTATGAAGTGCAATTACATTTATCGCGCCACCTAACTAATGATTTTATTTTGCAGAATTTGCACGGCAGATATACTGCACGGTATTTCCTCGAAATGTAGTAGTACTTGAATAGCTAATGGTATGCGCGAGAGACGGATGAACAAGTACGTTATCTTTGCACTGTACTCAAGAAATATAAAGAGGGGGTCGTGCATTTGTATAGATTTTTCCTTCGTGCATTTGTATAGATTTTTCCTTGCATCCTTATTTATACAAATTTTTTTATTAAGGATTAACTAATCTTACATACCAATTTAGAGGAATGATTGATAAAATAGAGCATTGAGAAATATTCCAGTTCATGATTTAAAAGAAGAAAGAAAAAGAGGCCAAACCTTGTTTGAGTAATCAATAGCCAAATATAAGCAATGAGTAGAGCATATGTCAAAGATAGGAAGACGTCGTATGTGTGAGGATTGAAGATCTAATAAAGTTTACTTACAAGCAAAAAAAAAAAAAAATTACCCTTAATAAACTTACATGCAAAAAATACGGAAAGAGAGTGAAATATGAAGAAAAAAATTTAAAAGAACTTCTAATTTTGTTCAGTGGTTTCTATTCAAAATGATATCTCCATTGCAAGATTTTAATTGAAATGAGAACGAAGCATACAGGAACACTTGAGCTAGGGGCCTCTTACGTACAATTACGAAATAATTTAAGCAATAGTCATGTTAAAGATTTAAGCATAGCGAATTAAACTTACTGATTTATGGGACATGTATACTATTTTACTTTAAAACATATTTCAAACTAGTATTAGAAAATTTATTTGAATTAACAATAAGACGTTTTATTAATAATTAATTCTTAGTGCCTTAGCTAGTAAGTACACGTAATATACCTGCATAATACATGATTATAGGTATAATTTCAAAAATTTTATTTATATATTTTAAAATATTATGAAAAATAGTTTGACTTTTCACATAATCTCATAAAATATGTAATAAAATTTTGTCATATTATAGGTTTTTAATCATTTTCAATTTTTGAAAAGTTTGAAAGTTTGGATAACAATAACAACAAATCTTCCTAGTTATATATAAAATATTACTTGTTTATATATCACAATTTTTATAATTTAACACATATGAATATAGTAAGATGATAAAGTTTTAATAAATTTTATATCTAGGACACAAGAAATAATAAGAGTTAAAGCCAAAACAAAATGAGAAATAATATAATAATAAAAATGACAAAATTAGTATAACAATTAATATAAGAAAATCAGTATAACCTGGAAATTTTTCCTTGGGAGATTGTTCATAAAAATGGGATCCAACAATTATAAATAAAATCACATGCATATATAATCTATTTTAAATTTAAATTAAATTTAGTTCAGATATAAAATGGTCCTAAAATAATTAGTACACTATGACAAAATGTTATTTTAACAACAAAAGTTTTTTACTAAAAGTCTCAAATATCCATGACATACGTATGAGGGATATTTTACCATATTTGTATCTCACATCTAATCATTAAAGTTAATTTGAGGAAAAATATTTTTTACAATAGAATTATTTTGAATTTAGTCAACAAGTTGAGATTTTTTAAACAATAAAAGTGAAATATTTTGGGAACTTAGCTGTTTATTTTCCCATAATTAAAAATTGCTATATTTTAGCAATTGTTGCCATTGACTTTCATTCTGTAGACTAATTTTTATCAATTCAAAATTAGTTTTATTAACAATAATTGAAATTCCATTAATCTGAGGATTGGCATTCTATTGCTATTATTTTATATGTAAATATTTAACCTAAGTAATAAAATAAATAGTAGCTGCTTAAAAAAAAAAGAAATTGGTGCTCAATTGATTGTGGTGTAAAATATTAGTATACAATTAACTAGAGCTTGAAATGGAATTAAATTTATTTAGTATTTACTGCTAACAACTTTGATCCCATTTAATGGTTAAAGAAAAAAAAAAGACGTAGAGATTGGGATTGGTTCCTTAGTGTGAAAAAGGAAAATTCCTCTAAAGTAACGCTGCGTGAAATTCAGGATGCATGTGAAATTAGAAATGTGATAACTTTGCAATTCATTCTCATTCATGATGAATTTCTTTGATTCTACATGGAATTGCAATTTTTTCGTTCAGCATGAAAATATTCTTTTTTTTTTTTGGTCATATTGATGGCTTTTGCTTTTAAGATATCGGTGGTTAGTATTATTGACAAGGTTAGAGGTCATGAAAAATGTTACTAATTTTAGGAGAAACTATGTATTGTAAAAATAATTTAACAATTTTCTACT